GAGGAACTGAATTCACAGATTAAACAGGAAGGAACAGCAGTACATTATAGATCTTTGTGTGTGTATATGTGTGTGTGTGTGTATATATATATATATATTATATACATACTGTACTGTGATTGTTTGTGGAACTGCTTGTGAACAAAGGAGCTTTGGGAAGCTTCATGTCTACCACCAGAACAGCTGCTTTTCCTAACATTAAGCATTGTAAATATCAGTGAGAACTCTGTCAACATGTCTGGTTTCTAGAAAGACAAAAATTTAATACATCTTGCAAACTGTGAAAAGCCAGTCCAGTTTAGAGATGAGTTAAATTAAGTATAACTATAGTGGGGGGAGGGTTCTTTCTTCAGATGGCTTGTAAGATACCTGTGAAGAGCTGATAGACAGTAAAAGCACAGAAGAAATGTTTTCCTGCATACTGTCACAAAAAGAATGAGTTAAGGAAGAGATAAAGCCAAAATGAAGAAGGCTGACCATACAGCACTCCCTTCAATAGCAAGCTTTTCAACAAGGGGAATTTTTTGGCCATCTAGTGTACTCCTCATTCCCTTTCATTCATGCATAGCAAAATACAAATTATGCAAGTACTAACAGGGTACAAAATTGACCTACAGTTGTCATGGGGGTTTCATTCCTTTCCACATTATGTGGCTATGCTAAATTAATATAAATGTTTCTGAGATTGCTAAGGGAAAAAAAAGATGTTGCTTGTTTAGACAATTTTAATGATGTTCTAACCTTTTGCATTAAATATCTCTTCCCTTCATTTACTTTCTGGCAGCAGTACATATGTTTTCTGCAAAGGACATTTTAATGAACATATACCTGATTATTTAAATGAATGGTTTTAATGAGTTGTTTGAATCGGTTTCCCTAAAAGTAAGCATGAAATTACTTTCTCAGTTGAGATGTTTTAATGTATTTTGAGAACAACGTACATAATCACTTTCTAGAAAACACAGGCCTTAGTTGCTTTAACATTCCAGTGCCTTTAAGTGCTAATAAACTAAAGTGGTTTTTTCCTGGGAATGATATGCCAGTACAGTAGACTGATGTCTTAATGTAATATTACTTCTTAAGAAATGGGGGGGTTTTCCTATAGAAAAGGGGAAAATGCTTTTCATTTTATCAGAATAGTACATCAGTTTATGTTAAATAATGAAAAGATATGGACAGGCCTGATATTATGGCCTTTCAATGAAAGGCTCCAACAGACTTAATAAAATTAATACTCCTAAAAAGGAAATGCATCCGAGTTCCACTGGGATAAACTCTGGTGAAAGTAATTTGACTTCACCAAACAATTTAACTTCAAAATTACTGAACTTGGTCCCTGACTATTTACTCTTTATTGTATTCTTTATTGCAATACAAAGTATTAATTCCATTCAAACAAAAAGAATTTGCCATAGTTCACCATGTAGCCATCAGGAAGAAGAATACACCAGAAGTCTAAATACATCTGCATCTGCCTATATTAATGTCTTTCAATTCTGAACCAGTGGAGTGTTCTTTATATGATTGATCTAATTGTTTAGAAGATATTTCATGCTTTAATTGACCTGATTTTTCTCTATTTATTTTGTTTGTATAAAAATAACAGCCCTGCAATGGAAATGCAACCTGAATGAGAGGTTTTAGAATTTTTAATCAGCAGTATTTTGCCTTAGAATAAAATCTGGTTTTCCTATGGAATAATGTAATAACATGGGCCTGGTCTTGAAGGTCTAATCAGTCAAGAGATAGTCCTTTAAGAAGGGTTCCATCAGCTGGCAGACTTTTTCTGAGCATTAAGCTAATAAAGACATTAATTTCTGCATAAGGTAACTGTAATAGAGTTCACTGGTGTTTTGTTTAGACGTTTTGTTTAAATTTTTACGATTCCACTGTGATTTCTATGGCTTTGACTTAGTTTTACATGCAGTCATTTCTAACTGTGTTCTAACCTTCTCTATGACTTCTGGATGAAACCACAGCAAAAATCCAAGGTAAATGCATCAGCTCATTCCCCATCCTTCCACTCCTCCTGCCCACAGAAATGTACAATGACTGAAAAAGACTGAAAACTTTGCATAGCCTTGCGTTATATTGTGATGTATTTTCTTGTATCACTCATTACTTGATAGAACTATAGTCAAAACATGCCTTCCAAAGGCACACTAATACATATGCTTTTGTTTTTCAAAAGTCTTTTGTTGCATGGTGTAGCATTTAAATACTTAGCAATCATTAATATTAATAAACACCTTTGTTACCTGTAACATCTAGAGTCTTTATCATTAACGAGATACACATCAAATGCTTAATATGCACCTTTAAATAACTTCAGTATATTAATTTAAAATACAATACAAAGTCCAGGCTGTATACATGCAAAGCCTGAGATTGCTGTGGATCATATTTATCTCACAGGATTTGTTTAATGGTTATTAAACTGTTACCAGTGTAGGAATCAGTAATTTCTATATGTTTTTTGAGCCATTAGATCTTGTATGTAGATATTGTTGCCATTGTTAGTATCATCATCACTTTGGCTCCAACTTTTCATATTACTGAAATAATCTATCCTTTCACAGAACACCTGTGCCTGTGAAGTTCATGCATTTTTCCGAAACCAGTACTGCTTTTCGTCTGTGCTACCAAGATTTGTAAGTGAACGACCCAAATTTAAATATCCATACTTCAGCATCAGAAACCCTTGGTAGGAATGCCTTCATTTTTTTGTAGTTTTGCTGTCAAATTAATCTTTTTAAGTAAAAATGTTGAAGTAATGCTTACATTGTGAAAATCCTCTATGATACAGATTCTATTTTTCTACGTCGCCTATTGATTTTATCTTGGGAACTTCCGGATGTTTTACAATGCTGGAGAAATAAATCCTCAAAGGCAATATAAATCTTATTTCCTAAGACAGCTACCTGAATATGATGACAGAATTCAAGCTGTTACACTTCAATTCTGAAGAAAGGGCCTGTTCCTCATGCTTTTCCACCACTTGTTACTTCCCAGTTTATAAGGACTCTCTGCTTTTCCATGGTCTTTGCAAGCTACTGATGTTAACGGTGATTCCTGCAGGATTTTCAGTGACTTAGCAAGGAGGTAAGCTCTCTAGAGAGTACACCTCTTTATTCACTTCCAGATTGCCTGAGAAAAAAATTGATTTTAACTACAGCTCTAATCAAATACATTTCATATGCAGCACACTTGGCAAACAAATGATCAGGAAGAGGAATGCAACACTTCCTTGATTCCTTTTCCCCCACCTCCTACTCTTTTTAATGAGCATTTGCTTCCCTTTTGTATCAGAAATGACAATTTTTCACTTGGAGGAACACCTAACAAAAAGATAGATACTTGGAAGTGATTTTTATGAAGTATATTAATGAAATCATAATATAAATGGTCAGATTCTAAGCTGTTTGTGCATTCAAAACATTTGCGGGAGAAGCAGTAGCAAATTTTGCAAAGAAGCCCTAACAAAGTAATATTGAGTTGGTCTAACAGTTCTGAGATTGTGAGTAAGGAGATGGATGTAACCATCATTTTACTTTCTTGGTAACTATTGTTTAAATTAAAGTCTGCAGTTCTCTCGAGAGAAGAATGCTGTTTAAGTCTAAAAAATTATTCTTTCTCACTCAATAAGGAACATTTTGTATCAATAAGACTAAAAAAAGCACCAATTTGGTCCTACAAGATTGATCATGTCTGCAATACTGAATGTATTACTTCATAGGAAGAAAAGTTTATATTGCTGTTTTTAAAAAATGACTAAGATCAAACAAAAAGGTCTCTACCTTAAAATTATTTTACTATGCCACTTAGCAGCAGTCTATGACTATACTATATGGTCTTTAAAGTGCTCAATAGTCCCATAAAGTTTTAACCTTTATTTTATTGGTACCTGCTACTTTGTGTGTTATGTGTCTAAAGCCAATGAATAGATTTTTCATGAATCAAATGAATTTTACTGTTCACATAAAAAAGCTTTATCCTGTCTTTTAGTAGCAGGATTTTGTGTATGAATTATATAATTTTCAGCATGCATTATTCTGAACTGTAGTTTCTGGACCAGAAAGCCATGTTTAAATCACTATGGGCATTAAAATTAAATGGCTGACTGCACGGTCTAGAGGGTCATCCTGCAGCAGAACACAGAGCTGTGAAATCAAATATTTGTATATCTTTGATTGTAAAAATTATTAATTGTTAAAAATTATTCAAATGGGGTTTTTGTATTTACTTACTTTTTTTTTACCCTGATATGTGAACAGAAAGTGAGAAATTAAAATGTGCAACCAAAACCTGCCAGGGCATTTCAGTTTTCATGCAGAAAACATAAAGCTTGGTGGAAGACTTTTCAGCCACAAAAATCAAGTAAGTTGTCCTAATTAAGATTACTAACCTTTTCAGTATCCTATACTTCTCTGAGGCATTTTCTAAGCTTCAAAAAAGTCTAGTTCCTCCACAGATAGATCAAAAAAATCACAGCTGTTTCTGAGACAAAGTCTGATGCCAAATAAAGGTTGCCATGTAACCAGGCCTGTCATGTTAATGCTAATGAAAGCCAATGGGACAACAGGATTCTCATTAAATGGGAGTCAATATTGCTCTACAAATAAGAAGCTATTGCTTCAGAAAGTTTTAGAGTGTTTGTAAATAGTTTCATTTGGGAATTCTCTCTGGCCATAATATCTTGTTTTTCTCCTCCTCTAAAAAGCACAAGCCAAACACAATTGCACACTAACTACCTGACACCTTGGCAAATAGCACCAGTCAGCAACCGTTAAAATGATCCAGACCAATAAAAGTATGCAATAGGGAAAGTTATAGATAATGATAGATAATGATAACCAGCATTAACATACCGATCCCAGTTGTCCACAGGACATCCATGGGAGCCATGGCCAGTGCTGTCCATCCACAGCAGGGCACAGTGGAGGGCTCTGGTACCCATCTCCATTCCTTTCCCCAAGTCTTCACCCAGCCCAGCCACTTACCTTCTTACCACCCAGGGCCTCAAAGTGGCTCCGCAACTCCTCCACAGTGATGGAGATGTGCTCCACTAGCTGAGATCCAGCTAGGGTCTCCTCCTTGACCACATCTGCCCTCCTGCTCTCTGATGGCACCTTCTTCAGGGTGCTGCTGCTGCTGATCTTATCCAGCACCAGGGGTGGTGGGGCTGGTGAGTACCGAAGCATCAGACCAGGTCTTGTAGCACTGGTGGTTTCCCATCTCTGCTTGAGGAGCTCCACGGAGCCCTTCTGTAGGGGCAAGTCTGCCAGCTCCAGTGTGCCCTGCCAATGCAACATGTACTTGGGGTCAGAGGCTGGTGGCACAAAAACAACAGAGGTCACTGTGGAGCGGCTCGAGAACCTGTGTAGGTTGCAGGACAGGCTGGGGCACGGACTGGTGGCTAGGACAGAAGCCACTTCCCAATGGAAAGCAAGATCCAGTAAGACCAGATCCAGTAAGAGTCAGTGAAACGGTTCAGTATGTTCATACAGCAGAAATATGTTAATTACAGGGTGAATTAAGTGTGGTGTTCAGACATTTTATTCTTAAGCTTGCCAGCAGAATTGCTGTCTATCATGAGTGGAAAAGCAGCAAGCACACAATTAGGGAGAATTCCAAACAAAATGGGTCTAATGAATGAGTGCCTGGTAATCAGTGTGTGCTGCATGAAAGGTGTTGTGACAGGTGATTGCTGGTTTCTTTCAGATGTGATACAGCCGTCTGTATTGTGGAGTGAGACACAGCATTTCAATGCAGCTAGGAGATAGAAGAAGCTACTCTATTACCTGTGAGAGTGCTTGGGTTGTCTGGAAACACAACCCAGGGCAGTTCTTCTAATTGCACTGTAACTCATCTGGCAGGTAAATTGCTAAGTGTTGATATCAAATATTTCTGATCAGTTGACTGTGTTCTCACAAAGGCTTATTCCATCTTTCTTACAGTACACTTGGGAAGGAAAATTACCATTCTGTCTTTTTGCACCAGTTGCTGAAATCTGCTCCTCTTTTCCTGAAATCAGCTCCCAAGAGGTATGATTTTGAGGTGTCCTGCCCTGTAGCAAATACTCAAATATGTTTTCATCTCTCATTCAAAAGGGAATTTGAGTAAAATTATGAATTTAAAACAGTAAAGAGAAAGAAATGCTAACAAGAACTGAGACCCAGCTACTAACTAAAATCTTAATTCATTAATCCCTTTCTTCTTGGAAAGAGAAAGTTGTATGTGTGTAACAGTCCTTTAATATGCTTATGTTTGATTTAGCTTAATTAAATCTGCATTGTTGGGCACTGAGGCTTGGGATTTTTTTGTGTGTGATCTGTAACATTTTACTTAGGAGGAAAAAACACAGGAAGGCTGGGTATTTGATCTGCTCCAGGAATATTTTTAAAAGGAGACTTCAAGGTCCACCTTCCTTGAACAAAATGGGAAATAGTTTCTTGGCTCACAGTTTTCACCCTCTGTTGGCCCAAGACTACTTTCTTCTTTAGCTTTTTTGTAGTACTATGTTGTGACTATGGTTAACATTCTGCTAGCTTCCATTGACTGATGCAAGTGTTGCCCAAGCTCTCCCCTTCCTGCAAGCAAAAGAGGAACACTC